AGAGAATCTCTCTAGCTCAGGGTTGAACAGGGTTGAACTCTCTAGCTCAGAGAACACCAAGAACTCCACATTTCAAGATTCTGTTACTTGACCTTGCTTATCTTGAAAAGAGCTGACGTACTAAATATTACACAACACTGACTCTGGCTGTGTTATTTTCTGAATGCTGCCTCTTTTATTTATAAGCTTACAGTATATAAAATTTACACTTACACCGGAAGAACAAAGACATTTTTGATTAAGTGACAGCCCAGGTGAAATGACTTGGATTTGCTTTAATGAGAAATTTTGCCCTGCAGAGGCAACACAATTCTCCTTGTCAAGGCAAAATGGCAGTATGACTTGCCTTAACAAGGTGCTTTGTCACTTTATAACCTCAACCTGGCATTTCCAATAGATGGAATGAGTTCTGCATTTGTGCAACACATTGCAAAAGCTTCTACTGTACTGACTGTTGGAAATGCTGGGTCAAGGCTGCAAGATGTCATAAAGCAAAGCTATCACTGCTTTTAGAAGCAGGGGTCACATTGCTTTTCAGATTTGTTTTGATAGGGTCTTTCAGCTGAAAACCCCATCCAATCAAATTATCCAATCAAAGCTTTCCACAGCCTTATTAAATGATAATCAGAAAATGAAGCAGATTAACATGAATTCAGAGGGTAGACAGAAATCTTAAAAAAATTATCTTAAACAACTACAAAGAAGAGTTGTTACTGTAGTAGAAATACTTAATTTAGACATTTATTTATTAATTACTTAGACTGTTAAACTCAAAATATCCATGTAATATAATAAGTAAAATCAGCAGGGGGTATGGAAACAGGCACCATGCTAGAAAGCAGGAGACGGTGAGTTCTGGTCCCACCTTAGGCAGGAAAGCCAGCTGGTAACTTCAGGCCAGTCCCTCTCTCTCAGCCCAACTCACCTCACAGGGTTGTTGTTGGGGGGAAAATAGGAGGAAGAACAAGTATTAGCTATGTTTGCCACCTTGAGTTATTTATAAAAATATTATAAATAAGGCAGGATAATTAAAAAAAAAAAAAGTAGCAAGCTTTCATGGCCATACAGAATGAATGCTAAAGGCTGGAACTAAAAATCAAATTTTACAGTAAGCCTAAAGAGAAATGGGCAGAAACCTGGATGTTTTATAGTAAAGGAATAAGGAACTCCAAGGAATGTAAATATGTATGTGCATTTGGAAACACGTGAAACTGTTCATGATGAGGAAAGAAAGTCAAGAGAAACTAATTCAAGATCTTAATTAGCAGTCCACAGTCAGTTAAATATTGGACTACAGATGCAGATCTTGATTCACAATGATGTGAAAAGACAAGTGCCTGGAGTTTTAATTGACAATCATGCTCTTGAGAACTGTTGGATCACGTATTAACTAGCACTGTACTCCTAGCAGGTCATCAGAGTCTTGTCTGAACTATGGGGAAAACTCAGATAGGTAAAGATTCAACTAACTGGTAGTCCTGCCTCTCATTTGTTAAAGGCCTGAATTTAGAGACAGACTCTCTTGAATTGCCAGGCAACGTGCCATGACTGATTAATGAGTGCCACACCACTGCTGCTATGAAGCACAGGCTTAATCACATAAAGCTAGATATTCAAGAGGCAACCCTTGCTCTCTTAAGGCGGTACCTTTCTGGAAGATTAACCAACTTCAGTGGCAAAGTATGAAATTTCAAAGACAGAACAAAAGCATTAACAAGTTCCCATCATTGCTCATATCTGATTCTTTGAGATGAAGTTCAGCTTAAGGAAAAAATTCCAAGTAACAGCAATCAAGCTCTCATTATGTGCTGAGACTTAGAATTATATGAATATTGAGAGGCAAATATCTGCTAGATTAAAACTAGCAAAATTTAATTAGAATTGTATACCTATGTTAGAACAACTGCACGTTTAAAACTAGAACAAAGGCAGCAATTCTAAATTTGGGAAATACATTTTTTCTAACAGCAAAATATGGCCATAAATCACAAGAAGCTTTAGCATATTGGGCATTTCTAAAATGAGAAATAGTCCCTAGTTTTCAAGTATAAGTGATAAAAAAAATCTCATGGATTCCATTTTAGTATAAGCTCCAATTTTTATTTAGTACAAGACATAAATCTTGTCCTGTCCTGAAAACAACCATTTTCTCAGAAATATTTTGAAGAGACCTTCAGCTAATGTTAGAAGTATCTGTGTGCTTGAAGAAATGAGTAATTACCTCATATTGAAGAAGACACGATTGGGAGAGGCTAGGTGCTCTAGCAAAGAGATAACCTAAGGACAACTTAAAAACTAAAACTGATTATAAGTAGATTCCATATCTTTAGTAGGAGGCTGGATTAACTTAGTACAAGAATTAATACTCATTTTTTGAAGTTTAAAAACAGAGTCTCAAGAGGCTACTCAGGCAACAGAGTGCAACCTCCTGTGAGTTCAGGAATCCAGAAGATGGCTGTCTACCTTTGCTTCAATAGAACTGATGCTTCACCACTTTGTAGGAAAGTAGTCCCTCTGGCAAACTGCTTTTACCATTAGAAGTTTCTTCCTATCTAGAACCTGCCTGATTGTAATCGGACCAAAGGTAACATCAGCCAGCACACTCAGTGTATTCAAAGTTGATGATAAAGAAAACAGCAGTCTTGTATTTTGTGGCTCAAAAACAGATATAGACCACGTGCTTGAGAAGTAAAGAGGAAATTAATTTTATGGAGAAAGACAATGATGAACTTGAATCATGATGGGTAAGGCCATTTCAACAACAACAAAATATTGTAATAGTTAAAGCAAGGGTGCTTCCCCTGGTAATATATGGCTGTGAAAGAAGATAGGTTGCTTAGAATTATAGATCAGCAATTAGAAATGCACATATTTAGGGAATGTAATGCAAGAGAAATGATGGACTAAGAAAAATCATTATGCTTGGCAATATTGAAAACAACAGAAAAAGGGGAAGACAACAGATAATGTGGATGAATGGGATCAAATAAATTACTGGAACGTCCTTGGAAAAGTTACAAGTTATTAGTGGGATGGGTCAAGATGGTGACCTTTTGTCTATTATGTCATCAGGAGCTGAAGTCATCAGGTACCTAACTATTCCTGTGTCCTACATTCTGGGATTATATGGTGGAGATATGATGCTACTTCCAGTATTTAGAGAGTGCTATTATATCTTCTCCAAGTTACTCCTGTAGGACTCAATTTCTGGATGCCTGTTATTTTGGTTGCATCTCTATGAACTAATTTATATGAATCCTTCTTAAAGCATGATGACCAGAACCAGACACGTACTGCCCAACCAATGAATAGAGTGAAATTGTCATGCCCCTTGATATTGAAGCAATTGTTTTAAATTAGTTCTAAACTAATACTGCAACTACATTACATTGCTAATTTGAATTCAGCCAGTGACTCACTATAACTTTAAGTTCCTTTTCAGGCACATTATTGCCAAGCAAAGCATCTTCCTTTATATTTAAGCCCTTGTCCTAGATGAAGAATTGTTATGTATCTCTGTTAAATTTCATTCTGTATTCTTCTTTCTCTATTTTTTAATGTATCGGCAACATTCTGAATGTATTTCTGTCTTCTAAGATGTTAGCATTTTGTGTCAACTGCAATTTAATAAATATTCTCCCACCACCTCTTCCAAATCATTGCTAAAATGTTAAGCCCAGGATTGTTTTCAGCAACATTCCCCTCAAAACCTCTCCACAGTTTTATAGGGAACACTTGATGAGTACCCTGGATACAGTTCATCGGTTACTATGGATCTGCTTGTACGCATGCATATTATATTATGCATGTGTGTATAGTTGCAGCAAATACACAGGCACTCTAAATATAGCTCTGGCACAGATTTCATCCTGGCTGAAATCACTCTGAAATTGCTGTCCCAAATCAATTTTGTTTTGCACGTATCTCTGTATTCACTTTTCGGTACATGTTATTGCAAACAAACTTGGAGTTTCTAACCAGGCTAAGTAATGTATGACTATACTTGGAACATTATTATAAATAATTAAAAGATCAAGCTATGAAATGCATATTATAATTGATGGTGACAATAATAGGAGTATAACAGCTTATAACTTAGGCAAGCTTATAACCAGCAGCTTCTCTGTTTGGTGGAAGGTAGGATTGGAATGATAAGGAATTAAAGAATGGGGGGAAAGAAATGGGGAAACAGCTATCCTGATGTTCACAGAAGGGAGTGCTCACATACATGTATGTCCCATAACATTAAATCTAATTAATCCTTAGAATTTGTATGGGGAAAGCCAAAGCTACCGGATCCCTTCTCCCAATAATGAACTGTTGATTTATCTGGACATATAAATATATACCTACAATTTGTCCTATAACCAAACACCTCCTCAATACTTAGCTCCTGTGGGAAAAAAGGGTAATTGGAGTGAAGCAAATTAGTTTTTCTGGAATATATACAGAGATCAAGAAGGTCATTGTAGTTTGACAGTTAGTTCCACCAACTTGTCTAAAGATGTCCCCTTAAGCATAAATCTTCAGCAACGAAAGGGCTTCTGCATTAATTTTTCCGTTCTACTTGACAGCTATCAAGCAGAGTGACAGAAGTAACCCTTTAGCAAACAATATACCATTTTCAGTGCCAAGGTACATACAATTTCATTAAACCCTGAAACAGCTCAAACTTCTATACTTAGTGCCTTCCATTTTTATTGCCCTTCATTTTTACGTGGGATAACTGGGATTGCTTTAGTACCATATGTTGTCCCCTAGAATTGGAAAAGGTTGAAGAATATGGGCAAAGTAGAGCATGGGGAGCCAGGAAGGAGGACAGGGTGTTTTGCATTTAACAACTGGTTTGCATCAACCTGATTGAACCAGCCAGATAACACTCCTGGTTACAACAGCAGGCACAAGAGAGAAAACCAGAGCAGATGACATTTAAGTAAGAAATCTATGATCTAGCTTAAAATCCTGTAGTGGTGCAATGTTTAGACATGTCTGTAACTTACCTTCTCCTAGAGTCTGCTTCAGTAAGTCATGCTTAGCCTGCAGCTTAGTAATAAGGTTACTGCCATTCAAATACTCTTTAAATTTCTGAAGAAGAGAAAAACAAGTCCATACAAATATAAGCAAGGTGGACAAAGAATTCTGACAAAACACACTTTGGGCTACAAGTAGTTCTCAGTTAACAGCAGCAATTGGGACCAGAATTGCCATCGTTAAGCAACGTGGTCATAAAGCATGACGTTACGTGACCAAGCTGCTTAGTGAAGGCAATTCTGGCACTCCCAGTTGCCACTGTTAAGCAAATCACCATGGATTGTTAAGCATGGACATCATGTGGTTGCCACTTGCGCCTGCGGGCTTCCCCATTGACTTTGCTTATTGGAAGCTGGCAAAGAAGGTCACAAATGGTGACCATGTGACCAAGGGATGCTGCGACAGCCAGAACTCCAAGGACCACGTGTTCAGAGCTGTCGCAAGTTTGAACAGTCACTAAACGAGTGGTTGTTAAGCGAGGACCACCTGTATATTCATTTTCTTCATGGTGTTCTCAGAATTCTATACAGAATGAGAGGGCATATTTCTAAGCCTTAATGAATCAGATTTTGTTGCACACAGGATTTTTTTAGAGTTTCCTCTCTCTAAAATGTAGGCAACAGTAACACTCCCATTTATAATCTAAGGTCAAAAACCTTTGTATTCACCCATGTACTTGAGATCAGGATCTTAGATCATAAGGAGCTTCAATGAAAGCTTTGTTTTGTCCACCTTCTAAGAATGGCCTCAGTTAACAAAAAAGCTTCACAACTGCCTCCCACCCCACCCCCACAAAGGGTTCTACTCCTTTTGTGCAAACAATGATACAGCCTAGGTCTGACAGTTTGGCTGATCAGAAGCTTCAGAGCAGATCTTTGATTTTCAGATTGCCTCACATCCAGTAATAATGTCGTAGAGGGAAATAACTTTGCAGATGCTCAGAACAGAGGGAAAGCATGGGGTAGGAGGAGGGAAGAAAGGTGTATTAGTTGGAAGAACAGAAATAAGGAGATCAAAAATGGATACACACAGCACTTTAACACTACAAAATGCAAATCTCTGTAAGCCCTCTTAAGGAAGTGATATTTGTTATTATGATGCTACATATTAGTGAAAAGAATTCCCTGGGTTCAATTTCACATTCTAATTAAGTCAATAGATGGGTAGATAGGTTTAAGTTACTCATTTGCCTCTCATTTCTAAGCTCTGCTGCAATATGTGGTAAACTACAAAAACCCATTTACAAAGCTTGGCAAAGTTTTTGAGGTGCAATTACTATAGTTGAATACATAAAATACCAAACAATTGCTAAATATTATAAACTCTACTGTGAATATGTAGTATCATCCGATATAATTAATTTAAGGGCTAAAATAAACACTGCTTGGATGTTATTAAACTTAAAAGACCCTCCTCCATAATGCTTAAATGACATCAGCCTCTTGCAGATAGTTGTGCAATCTGCATGACTGTCTGTACAAAAAAGCATTACTTTATACAGCTGTACACTCATTATCTTCTACACAAGCCAAGGCCTTCCATTCTCAGGATCATAAGGCACATTGAGACCAAGAAAATTGTATTGGCTTTTCTCTGGCAGGTATTTGCCTTAGAGCAAGACTATCTGCAGGAGAATGAGGTTACCTGAGCACTATCAATGGAGGCAGGGCTTAACAAGTTTCAGCCTGGCTTGTCATATTGTGCTATGTGGTTAGGGGAAAAGTTATCTATGTTACTAAGTGCCATAATTCTCTCGATATTTCCTGCATTGCCTTCATAACCAGAATAACAAGAACTGATGCTTACATAATTCTTATTTTAAAAAGACTTCCACCAGTGAAGATCACCGATTATTGCAAAAAGTTTCTAAAATAGATATGAATCTCAGAACTTCCAGTTGTAACTAGGGCAAATCTGGTAACAGGGCCAGGAGAATTTACAAAGTTCTTCTCAACTGACTTGAACAATGGAGGAAAGGTACTTTCAGGTGCGTGGTGGAATATATAAATATTCCCTGGTCTAAAGGGATATGCTTAAGCAGTGTCTGGACATTTGGAATTAAAAATCTCAGGAGATGGCAATGGCAAGGCACTTCCATACTGTGAAGAAAACAACATGGATGCATCCCTGTAAGTCACTGGGAACCAAGCTGCAGGGATTTTATTTTACATGTTAAAAAAAAAATCTATATTTTTTTAGGGAGGCCCATTACACATTACAACTTTACATCAAAGCCATGAGGACTAATGTTAAAAATCCTCCTTCAAGCAATGCACAAATAATTCTGAGAGCTAATGCACATTAAAAGAACATTCATGCACACATGAGGGGGGAAGGGTGAGTTGATGTGCAAATACCATAAAAATATAATATGGACATTCCAATCTTACTGTCCAACCATAGATCTGTGGGATGAATATTTCACTAATGTGTTTTAAATGTACTGGGCTCAGTATAGACAGAAGATGTTCCTCACAGTAAAGTAGAACATTTCAGTTTCTTGTTGGTTGGCTCTTCTCTTGGCAATGTTTATTTTACTCATGTAAGTCTCTGAAGCAGCTGATTTGATGGACTCAGTTGAGCGACTATGCTGGAAGGCATCTGAGACATCAAAATCTTCCACAGTCAGCATGTCTTGCAGTGTCTGCATAGTGGCATCCAATGTTTTTCGCACCTGCAGAAAATGGATGTACAGAAAAGCAGAGTGAAAGATACAGTTCAGCACAATGAATATATGACTTTTGTTACATTGACATTGTCTTTTTTAACTGAACATTTTCCAGAATTAGAGCCTTAGGTTTAATAGGATGTTCTTGTGTTCAAATGAAAAAATTCTATGTATGACACAGAGATAAGTACATTATCTTTAAGGTTTTTGAGGAAAAATGGTATCTCTGCATGCTATTCCAAAAAGTGGTAACATCATACAACCAGGAAGAAAAACCAAGCAGAACTTTAAGAAATTCTTTCTATCATAAGGATTTAAAGATGTCCTAGAAAGATGTTGTGTTTAACTTTGTACCATGCAGAGGTTGTGTCAGCTTCTCTTCACTTATGGAGTCACTGAAACATAACATTTAACCAGGAGTGCCTAAACCTTTGCATATAATTGTATACCATTGGATTTATAACACTAGAGCTAGCTACAAGCAAACTCTTCATTAATGTTCACAAACAAAAAATAGAAAGCTTCAATTATATCCATAAGCTGCTTCACACATTGCCTTTTGTTCTTTAAACTTCTCATCTGCTTCTTTTTCAGGACCAGATCAATTCTATCCAACCATAACTCTCTGAGTCTTCTCCTTCCTCTAGACCCTTTACCCATCCTTTTTATATTTGTTTTGCAATACAATCTTCATTAATTCTCTTGATAACCATCTCAATACACTTATTCCATACTGGTTACTTTATTCTCGCATATGTTCCTTGTCTTTGACCATCAGATTTGCAGGGCTGCTTCACAAAGAGACTATCTGAATGTTTCTGAATGTTTCACATTGTCTTAATACCTATGACTAATTAAATTTGTGAAGCCTCTAAACTCATCAGCAGAAATTTCTTAAGTAACTACAGTCTCAAAATGATCCACAATTATTTCTAGATGAAACAATTAATAATAAGCAACATGTGTAGCAATAGACCCACCAGAATCTCTGAAAACCATAGTAGATGAGTATTATTAGAGGCACAATAGTGAAAATGCACAGGATTCTAATGGCAAACAAAATATTGCAGTGCTCAGCCAGAGAACACTATATTACACTGGCAGTATTGCACAGAATTCACGTTCCCAACATTCCTATGATCAAGAGTCTATAAGGATGATTTTACAAATGTGAATTCAATAGAAAGTCATTTCATTCAATAGTTCAAATGTTACTCTTTGGGTCTGATAAGTAAGACATAGTTTTGCCTCCTAGGATTTTACTCCAAGTTCTTTAACCCAAGTAGGTGCAGACTTGGTACTTCCTTGCCCCTCCTCATTTATATACCCTACAGGTAGTCCTTGACTTACGACTACAATTGGGACCAGAACTTCCATCACTGTGATGGAATGGAATTATGAAGGCCACACTCAGGGAGGGAAACATCCTCTTTCGTCT